TCCCCCCCCCCCCGTTCCCTTAAAGCGCTTTTTTGACGTGAGACCCTGGTTCGGTGAGAACCCGGCGAATCGCTCCTTCCCGGCAATGAAGGGACGCGGGTCTTATCAACTATCGACAGGGCAAAACATGACCACGCCCCCCCCCCCCGAAAACCAACAGGGGAGCATCGCCGTACATGGGGCGCACCACCACAAACACTCGAGGGCCGGCCTCCGGCTATCGCTCCCCGGCGGGCTCGTTCCGGGCGTCGCCCAGCGGCAGGTCTGTTTCTACCACCCGCGCTTCACCCACCATGACCAGCTCCTGGACTTCGCCGGCGGCGGGGTACCGGTCCATTCCCGACCGCGAAGCCCCCCCCCGCTCGATCAACGCGTCGTCCGGAGGGAGGGCGGCGGGCGGCGGCCGCAAGTCTGTTGGCGGCGATCAGGCTTGAAATGGTAGATCGGATGGACGGGTAATTTAACCGTGGAGTTGCTGTAGGGGTGAGCATTGACCGACAATCAAGAACTGATTTGCTGCCTTTTTGTTCTTCGCCCCTCCGTGGTGATGGGCGTGTCGCCCTTCTACAGGGCAAAGGGTTGTGGTGCGTTGCTATGATGTATTGTGCCTCTTTTTCCGGAGTTTTCGGGAGCCAATAGGATCGTCGAGAAAGGCGGGTACATCCTGTAGGTGTTGACTGGCCACGAACCGCGTGGTTTGTTCTGCGGGGGGGGAAGTACACAACTACCTGGAAAACTTCCGACGGACTTTGTGTGGCTGTTTGTGGGCGAGGTTTTTGGCCACCAATTGAAGTGTGTGTAGGCCTGAAGACCTCCAAATTCTTGTGGGTGCTATGAGCGTTTGTGTTTCCCTTTTTCTGAGTTTCTTGTGGCGGCGTAAGCGGCGATTGGAAGCGTGGTTTTCGGCGAGAGTGTGTTTACCCTGTTTGCCTGTGCAGGGACGAGGGGGGAGAAAGAGACACAGGGATGGATGGAGAGCGAGAGAGTTGAAGTTGGGAGAGGGCGGGGGGAAAGGGAGAAATATACATGTGAGGGCGTTAAGCTCGAGCAGGAACGACTCGAGTTGTTGCCAGAGAGCACGTGTGACTAGGATCTACTTCAACAGCGCAACGTTTGATTGAATCAATGGCGCGTTGACACGTGTCGTCTCTCGTTTGTTTGTGACGGTGGCTGGTGTGAGAGATTGCCGGTGGCCTGCTACGCCTGTTGGTGGCGAGAGACAGGATAGCACCCCCGTGTTATCGTCCTCTGTCTCAAAAGGCACCGGTTTCCGAGGGGTTGTTGTTGAGGTCCGCGAAAGGACCCCCCCCCCCCCCCCCCCCCGCATGGATGACCACCAGCATCTGGTGCATCCTTGTGCAACGCATTGTAGCCTGGGCCGGCGACGCTCCGTCCCCACGTTGTAAGGATGCGAGGTCTATGGTCTACCGACGACGGCATGTGTTTTCATGAGTATTCATGAGTATACCCCCCCCCTCTCGTTGTTTTTTGTGGTGTTTAGGGATCATATCGGTAAGCCACAGCACCTCTTGGTTGTGTCGATGTTGGTGTTTGCTGATGTACACGGAGAGGAAAGGAGCGACCGCAATTTTGAGAGTTGTCGAGGAGTGGATGGAGCGGAGCACACGATGGACCCCCCACGTTTGTTTATACTGCTATTTTTTTAAGTCCCTTTTTTACTAAGTGCTTGTTGAGGATACCTATGTAGCTTTTTTTTTTGTGTGTGTGCCATCATTTCGTTCGGTGGTTTGTTCAGCTTTTGCCACTCTTTCGTCTCGTGAGGAGTGATTGTTGTTGTTTTGTGGTGTGACCTTTTGCACTCATGGGTTGGTGAAAGTGTTTTTGATCGCAATCGTGTGAACAAGTAGAACCTGGCAGGAGGGACAGGCCGGCAAAGCCGGCAACAACATCAAACCTTTTTTGCCACCCCGATGTTTTGGCGAGAGTGAGAAGGACCCTCCGAGCAACGTGACGTTACATGTTATCAGTAGAACCGTAAATGTGTTGATGTAGCACATACGTGTCGTGGAATGCTACGTGTTTTGACGAGGGGGAGGCGTTCGATGAGATTTAGAGGCATTCAGGCCGGTGAGTTTTTTTTTTTTCGAAAGCAGCGCGACCTGGCGACGGTAGATAACCTACACATACATACGACGTTTCCCCCCCAAGTTTTATTAAGCGTTGACGGCTGCACACAGACAGCCAAAGCGTCGGGACCGCATTGAAAATGAAGGGTTTCGGAAGTCTATGTCTGGAGTGCGTACACACGGAAGCATCATGACGGTGCATGTATATGAGCTGTGTGGTGTCTCGGTGATGACCTCGTGCTTGACAGCTATCTCTGCATTCCATCTGCGGTGTTCTTGTTGAGCGTGAATTCGATGGATGTCAAGCTTCGCGAAGAGGCATGCTGTGTATTTAGACGTACATTTTCCCCTCGGGGGAAGATTGGCAACGCAGCGTGCCTCAGGCAACCGCGCTGAACCTCTGAAAGATCCTCTCGGAATCGTTTTCGTGGTGAGACAGACCTCTAGAAACGGTAGACCGTAGTTTAGAGGAGAAAGCATATTCTAAACGCCAAGTTCGATGCCGCCGCACGAAACGAAGTGCCAACTCCGGTCTTCCTGCTGTGTTATGATCAAGGGCAACCGAGCGAATCAATGTCGTGTTGCCTCTGCACCGCCAGGTTATTTTTAATCGTATTTTTCTTGTGGTAACCATTGTCTTCCCATCAAAAGTCGTTCCGATCTCTACTCATTACCTTCTGCCGTGGTCACGGGCCAACTACTACCCAAAAAAGGGTGCATGCTTCTAGATACCCAAAGGGAGAAAAAAATGGACTCACAAAATTCTCAAAGAAATGCTCCGTACAATGATTGGTTGCTTTTGCTCCGTTTCTACGTAAAAAAATTGAACCGGGCGTGTCTCGTGGGCGTTCCTTTCTCGAAACATGACGGTTTGAGGGATCCGTCCGTGATGCACCCAAACTTCTTACCAAGTACTTTGCTGCTCCTTCCCCTCTCGCATCAGACCAACCCCCCCCGCCCCGCCCCCAAAGTAGGAAGGAACAACTTGGCTATCAGTGATTGATCCGTCCTGTGGGAACAGTGCCCCGTCCCCTCGAGGACGCGAATCAATGGTCTAACCGCTAAGACATGCGAAAACATAAGAGAGAGAGAGAGAGTACGCCCCCCCTCCACCCCTTCGCTGTGCTCAGCCATAATAAATGGGGAACGAATATACATGACAAAACTCGTGGAAATTAATCATTTCAACCCTTCCAAAAGAGCTACTTACACAAATTTGCTGTGAATCTAAACATCAAAAGTACTTGTTTACACATACCCCGCCGCCTATCCAAAAACGACACGGCTGCTTGCTCTGAATCGCTGTTGAAGTGGTAGTTGTTGCTGAAATGCCTGCGCAAAGGGCATTGATGATGATGCTGTCCCCCTAGCTGGCACAGGGTGCTAGCGCTCTATACTACATCCCTCGGGCCTCGAGTCCGTGGAATTAAAGCTAAGTTGGTGGATTGTGACCCATCGCATCAACGTTCCGTCCCTCTTAACGCAAAATGACGCCCGTCCCTCTTAAAAAAGACAAACAAACCACCCGAAAACGCTGCGCTGCCACCAAAAAATACCACCCGAACCCGCCAAGAATGGAACGCAAACTCGGCGCATTGGCGCTTTTAAGACCAAGATACGACTAGAAGACAAGCCCTTCTTCTTCTCTTGTAGAAAGAATGTGCCTCTTCTCATTCATCACTGCTATCGACTTATTTTTCGTCGCAACCAACCGTCGTCCACAAGAACCCTCCTATCGCCACAAAACTCAAAACACTGCAGGATATTAGGAAAGGCGGAGAGTTCCTACTCCTCCTGTGTGACTGACTGACCCCGGCTGGCGCGTCAGAAATACCCTAAAGCTGTGCATACACCCGCGCCCAGAGTAGACGGGACAAAAAAACAAAACAGAACAAATACACTCTTGAAAAAATCGAGCCAACGGGGCATAAGAGCTCCCCCCCAACACGTGTCTCACTTCTTACTAGACCACAACGGATCGATCTCTATCCACAGGCGATGAAGAGTCCAGGACACTACGTCTACACTACGCTATGTTATTTTCAACAGTCGTCAGAGAGAAGGTCCCTGAAGAACGCCAGAACGTCGCCGGCCCTGACCGGGGCTTCGTCCATGCCCCCTGCGGGAGGCCGCCGGCCGGGTGTTGTCGGGGACCGGCATTTCTGCGCAGCAACCAAAGAGCGAAGTCAGGCAAAGAAAAAGAAAAGGTGGATCAGAACACGAATGTAAAGGCTGTTGTTACTATTGGTGTGGTTGGTGTTGTTGTTGTTGTTGTTGTTGTTGTTGTTGTTGTCATCTGCACTTCAAAACCAAATGTATCGAGCGAAAGCAGTTTTCTTGTGTCCTATTGCAACAGCTCTCTGCCGGAGGACCCAAACATAAAACGAGAGGGAAAAGGTTGGAAACAGAAGTAAAAGAGATAGACATGTGTGCGTCATTCGATGACCAGAATGGACCGCGACAACCGGTAGCAGACCAACGAACTGAGGTCAGTCTTTTGTACCGGGGCCAAAAACGCGAACCTGATATATTTCTAGTACGCACATCACCATACATGTGCGTGTTTCATCTCGCGAGGTGTGGTATATACGGATGATCGAAGAGTGGATAGCGCGACCTGAAGCGCGCCACTGCCCACGCCGTCAAGACATCTAGCAAGTTTGCAGCGTTCCTCCGCCTCCTCCTCCTACCACTACTACTACTACCACTACTACTACTACTACTACTACTACTGCTACTACTACTACTACCACTACTACTACCATGCTACTACTACTACTGCAAGCCGATACGGGAGAGCAGGAACGTAGTGGGGGGGTTCGAAGGAGGGGAAAAACCTCCTGCGTAATTAGACTGCGGACTCGCCTGAATTAGGAAAGCGGCCTGCGTGGGGTTGAGGATGACGCCCATGTCTTGCAGGACACCGTTAAGGTCGGACGCCGCCACGCTGCAGTCATCAACACCACCGGGATCACCCCCTGAAAGACACCACAAGGAAACAAAAACAAGTGGCGCCATCAGTGGAGCACGGGGTACGGACGGCATTTGTTGGTTAGTTTGTTTCGCTTCGTGTTTTTCGGATGTTGTTCTTCTGGTGTGCACAAGGCAACGCACTAGACAACCACACACGCGCGTGGACATGATCGTGTTCACATGCACTACAGTACGCACCCCCCTCCTCAGTACGGCGTATGGTCGCACGTACACACACACAAACTCCCCACTTTTGGGATATGGCGTGTGTGTACGCCTTTTCCACCCGACAAAATGAGCACATTTTCCTGGAACGTTAAATCTATTTTTCTGTTTCACCCACGCGGTGCGCACACGTGCCCATTTCTTTTTTTTTTTTTGGTGCCGTTCATCATGCATTTTTCACGTTGAACAGCAACACGTGTTGAAAAATTTTCCACACCTCTTCACACGCATACAGCACGTTCATACAACTTGCGGATTTGGCAGACTACTCTACTGCTGCTGCTACATTTGTCTTTATATTTTCTTGCGTACTGTCTGCCGGCGGCGTGGTCACTTGCAAGGCCCTTACGCTGAACCGAACCGCGCCGCGTGCACGCGCACGTCACGCTACATAGTAGTACACGTTAAACACGCAACACACACCTAGGTTTCTCCTGCGTGTCCGGAAGGCCCGCCTCAGGTGCACCGCGCAAGAAAGTCTGCTGTCCGCGTCGCCCCCCGCCAGGCGGAGCTCCGAGCGCCCCTGCATCACGTTACTCCTGATAGACTGCGCGATTGGGTCGTCTCTGGTCCGCCTCAAGTGTATTGCCAGGTGCAGCGGAGGGGGCGGGAAGGGCAGACGAAACAAAGCACCACAATTGGAGGACAAACAAGATATGCTCGTTGCAAGAATCAAGAAAAAAAAGTTGGTGTTTTGATGTAGGCCATCCCCCCCGAAGAACAACACGCGCGCGAGAGAAGCCAGCACCCGTGCGCTTTGGCGAGAGAACTGGGTCGGAGATAAGATAACAGAGACGAGCTTGCGGAAGAATCAGGCAAGCTCGTGTGCATTTGGAAATCCATCTGGGCCCCCCCGCCCCCCCCGCAGCTCTCATCTGAGGGTCAAATCCACACACAAGGGGTGGCAACGACTAAATATCTCCGCTGCTCGAAGCAGGACGCACGCTAGAAAAAAATGTGCGCAGAGATGACCGCGGCTGGGGTTCCGCACACGTCTCCTGGGACACACCCCAGACGACAAGGGTCGAAACGTGTCCTCAAACAAGAGTGGTTTCAGGCAAGAAATAACACTAAATTACACTCAAACTCCTCACGAACCTGACGATGGGAGATAAAACCTCTTCTTCCTCGTCGGTGCCGACCTCCTTGCGACCCTCGGAGATCGGCAGGCCATGCTTGTGGTGGTTGTTGGCGTGGGCATCGAAGCTGCTGCCGCCGTCGCCGCCACCGCCGTCGCTGATGGCAGTCTGGGCGAGAAAGGTCGTGAGAGAGGCGAACCTTGCCGTAGGGGCTCCGCAGTATCGTAGCACTGCGTCCGCAAGCTCCTGCGAGTGAAAAAGTTGAGGACGGGCACCACACGGACAGATGGAAAACATCTATGCATCATACGACCGCAATATGTGCAGGAGAGTGGACGGTAGGCAGCAGGCGATTCTTCGCAGCAAAAGCGCCGAGTTCTCTCTTTTTTTAGCCCGCGCGCTGCCGAAGCTTGGAAACCACCCGCTGTACCGCCTTGCGGGTTAGGCCGCATGTGGTGCACCAAATGGGCATAGTGATCGGTGACAAGCGCAAGGACCTCGCAGGGGGGGAAATATTGCACAGAAACGTAGCTGCTGCGGTCTTCGGGAAAATGTTCACGGAAGTTCCTTTGTTCCCCAAGCACCCGAGCGTCCAATACAAGCGTCGGTGGGTAGGGGCGGGGCGGGGGGGGGGGCGAACTGGTCTGAACTACATGTATGTCGTCACAGTGCTGGTAGAGAGATATCGGCGAAAAGGAGATCGCCAGTGGAGAGGTGAGCAGAGAAAACCCGACCTCGCAAGCTCCACGACGTAACTGACCACTGAATGTGTGCTTCCAAGCTCGCTCTTTGTTGAAAATATAGCATCAGCTGCACACAATCACGGAGAGACCACCCTTTCCAGATAATGCCCCAGTGGAAGGGACATGTTGAAGTCTTTCAACAATAAAATTCTTTCGTGGCGCTTCATATCTCTCTCCCGCAGTTGAAGTACACTGCCTCCCCCCCCCCCCCGATCTCCGTTTGGCTGGTACAAAAGAGGCCATCACCTCAGCCTCCTGTTGAGAGAGGTCCAGGGGCATCCTCGCGTAGCGGAACAGCTTGACGAGTCTCGCCCTGTCCAGACCATCCCGTGCCTGCAACATTAAAACAACAAAAGAAACACGTGTTCACGTCATCACCCTCCTTTGTCTAGAAAAACGTATGCTGTCGGTGAGGTTGGCTGTGCACGGACTGAAAACACCAAGCGCATTCTGTACTTTGAAAAACGCCGGTCGATTCGCCGGGCACACAGTGGCGTTGTCGAGGGGCCTTATGGTACCTGGTGTCCACTCGCCGCGCCTGACAGCTGCCGGAACACCCCGGCAAGCAGCGCCCTGTCGCTAAGGAGAGCCTTCGCTGCCCTCCTCCTGGAGAAGACAAAAAGACATGCATGGCAGGAAAATGACGAAACCAAGACAAGAAAACAAAACAACGACGTGTTCAGAAGCTGAACGACACGCAAGAAAAAGAGCGACAAAACACACGAAACAACAACATGTCAGAAGTTGCTGCGGAAGCGTAGGGCACGCACCTCGGCGGTGCCCCGGTAGCACCGGCGGGGACCGGAACGTAAAACAAATTGCGAGTTCACTACCATGACGACTTGATCGAACAGTGCTGTGTGTGTGTTTTCGACCGCCGCTGCCGTTTGTTACCAACACCTTACAAACCCGTGTTCACCGCCATCGAGAGGAGCTGCGACGGCAGGAAGCAATAGGCCCAGACTCTATATCGACGTTACGGAGCCCCCTCCTTTTTCGGGTTTCCTCCTTGTACAATATGCGGCGCTCCATTCTCTCCACCCCCTACCCGAACTAGTCTGGTCCGGTGAGAACCCGGCGTGCTCCGTCCCGGCGTTGTAGGGATGCAAGGTCAATGGTTTAACGACGACGGCATGCACGGCTTTGAGTACACCCCCCCCCCGTCTACCGGGACCTGCATGCATGCGTTACACGAACGTATTGCCCTCCTTGTTCTCTGTTCGGTTTTGCGACCAGCAGGAATGCTGGGTGTAGAAAATGCTCAGGGTACATTGCGCGCAATCTGCAAGCCAGGCAAACGACACGTCAAGCGTACTCCGCACTAGGTAACACCTCCATACACAGAAGATAACACCCCCCCTCCCCCATGGTGACCATATTTGAGTCTGAACACGAGCCCAAAACGTAACCATACCCTCAGATCAAGCGAATAGGGTTACTGAAGATACCACCCCCCAGAGAAAACACCCCCCCTGTGATAATATTATTCAACGCCAACAATATGATCACAACGGGGGGTGTTATCTTGCGTGAAAAAACGGCAACTCAACAACTGCGGGCGGGCCAAAGACCACGCGGTGATGCTCTTGCCGTGTAGCGCGTACAAACTCGCCTGCGTGCTGAGCCCAGCTCAAGAGCACCGGAAGGACTACCACCACCGCCGCCGCCGCCGCCGTCGCCACCATTGTCGCTACCGTTGCCGCCGCCGCCGCCGCCGCCGCCGTGGCTTGATTCGTCGCTGGTCGGAGCGGGGGCGGCGGCGACCTCCGGCCACGCCTGCACGAGCTCTTTCAGCCGACCGGTATTTGACTGCCGGCGCCTCGTTAGCGGTAAGGCTTCTCCTCCTTCGCCGCTGAGAAGATTATTACCATTATTTCCATTGCCGGGGCTTACTGCGCCCTCCCCGTTGCTACGACTCGGCGTCGATGCCTCCAGCGCCGCCGCCGCCCTGTCCATTTCCTGCCGGATGGAGCGGCTCACCCCGACCCCGGACATGCCCTTGATCTTGCAGGCAGACCCCCGCCGCCCGCCCGACCAGTCGGCTCTTTCGAGCCCGGGGTTCCCACCGGCTGGCCTGAAATCGACGCGACTACTCCCGCCATTCCGAGGCCGGCCCGCCGAGCCGTCGTAGATGTCGTAGATCGCCCCGCTGCGGCCCTCCTCCTCCTCCTCCTCCTCCGAGGGGTTTCCGCTGTTCTTGTTGCGGCTTGCGGACCCCGGGTGTCGGGGGCTTGGGGTGGCGAGAGCGGACTCCTCTGAGCCCGCTCCCGCCCCCCCACCGGACGGCGTAGCCCCCCGCAAACCGAAGGCGTCTTTCATCGCCGAGGACGGGGAGTAGTGATTTCTGTGCTCCCGCTTTTGTGTGGGTGGGGAGAGTGTCGTTCGAAATAGTGCGAAATGGCGGGGGGGGGGGGGGGGGGGGGAGGGTGTAGTGAAAGGGAGGGAAAAGTGGGGCACTGGAATAGCCTGTGATGACGCACTCTGTCGGTGATGGCTTCTGCCACGGGGGTAGGTACTGATACAACATCAGTGGAGACGATGGTCGTAGTTGATGGCGTATTCTGACGGCTCGCGCGCAGTTCGGCAGGTATTCAGTGGCCCGCACAGTATGTGACCCCGAAGTGACGTGAGAGTGGTCTCGGCAAAACATAATGATCTGCTTAAATATGAACATGATCGGTCTCACATCGCGAGGAAAAGGAGCTCAACAACTGCTGCATCAATAACCTTCCTATATTGTCCCAGCGCACACGTGACTTATGCGGATTAGAACCGTGTTTTTTGCGACCAATATCTTGCCAAAAACAAATTCTGGTTTTCACGCTCGTTGTGACCAACCCCCCCCCTCTCCCATCTACACTGGTCGTACACCAACCTCCTAAAACTCCCCCCCACACCTTACCTCTCTCACGCCTCCCCGTTGGCCGTCGCCAAATCCCCCGTTCCCCACGAGGGCCGCCATGGCGCATTTCTTGCGGGGGTACTGCCGCACGCCGGGAGGGACGACGGGGGCATCGTTGTCCCATCCGCGTGCCGCGCGGGCGACCGTGTTAGCAGACCCCGCCCCGACCACGATGGGTTTCTTCCCCGGACGGAAAGGCGGTTGCATAGGGGACGCGAACGACCTGTCCCCTGGGGACGCCAAGTTTCTATCCCCTGGGGTACGCCTCCCTCCCTCGTCATCTGCGTGAGACCCCGCCTCTGCGTCTTCGCCGGCCACACGCACCCCGTTGCGGTCGGTACCACTCTCAGAGACCCCGAGTCTCGCCGCGGCCTCCGACTTGTCCCACGCCGTTGCGGCCTCGAGGTAGGTGTCGATGGCCCCGACCAGGCCGGTGTACCGGACGCGCGCTGTGCCGTCCGCTAGGGTGTTGGGGGAGCCGTCGCCGATCAAGACCGCCCCGCGGAGGGATGACAATCCGAAGTCGCTGTTTTACCGTTGTCCAACAAGAGAGAGAGAGAGGCGTCGAAGAGAATAAACGATTTGGTGGGACAATCGGCGGCGTTTCGTGGAGCGATTCAGAAAGGGGGGGCCGCGTTGGAGGTACGAACGAACGAAGCGCGTAAGGACGCGCAACCCACGCACGCACACCCTTCATTGTTCTAAGGTGAACAGTTTGCTCAAAGAAGCTTCAAGGTCGAATGGCGCTCGTCTGTGTGGCTGCATGGCGTTTGCTTCCTCGTATCTTGCCGACACACACCAGGGCGGAATCAGTATTGACAGCGGCACTTAAAAAAAAAAAATTGACCACAAGAGCTAGACTGTTAACGATGGGCGGGGAGCGTGCAACAACGAACGGCGAAAACGATGACGACACCACCATCATCACCGACAACAACAGCAGCAACAACAACAACAACAACAACAACAACAACAACAACAACAACAGCAACAACAACAACAACAGCAGCAGCAACAAAAACAACAATAACAACGAAAACAACAGCAAGAAGAAACAACGCCACCAGCAACAACAGCAAACAAGAGTTGAAGGTGATACTTGAGAGTGATTTCTGCTGGCTAGGGAAACCCACGTGTGAGCGCGTGAACAAAAGTAACAGACAACACCACCGAAGGACTGACGACGATTACCACGAAGAAAGAAACACCAGCAACACCAACAACTACAGCACCATCACCACCACCAACAGCAACAGCAACAGGAGCAGCAAAACAGCACTACCACCACCACCACCACCACCACCACCACCACCACCAACAACAACAACAACAGCATTACCGCCACCACCACCACCACCACCAACAGCAACATGAGGCAGTAAAAGACAACACCACCCGGCAACGCACGGATGGCGACGACGGACAGAAACACCAGCAAGCCATCTAGCCACGCCATGGCCACATCACACAACGACCCCCACACCCAACAAAGCTCTCACCCGAGCTGCTGCAGGATCCCCTGCTCCTTGAGCACCGCCATGAACGCATCCTCCGTCACGAAACCTGTAGCCGAGAGGTCCCTGTCCTCGCAACCGCGGACGATTCCTCTCACCCTCCGACGCACAAGCCCGAGGGAGGTCCTCACCTGCGAAGAAAAAAAAAAAAACACGCGATCTACTAACGTCCTCTATGTTTTTTTTTGTGCTGCTCTTGATGTTTTGGTCGTTGCATCACTTTGTACCCGTAGCGTCTCTTTCGGGGCGAAGTGCACGTGCTGTTCAAGCTGTCACTAGGGACGCCGTCAACAGCAGTCGGGCGCACTTTCCACTTTGCCGATGTTTTAAGGCATGAATCTAAACTTTTTAGAGTTTCGGGGGGGGGGAGGGGAGGTTGTGCAGGGCATGTAAGTACGAGCCACAGACGAAAAATATGGAACGTGTGCGTGTTCTCCGGTGGCGCATTGCTATGCCTTACACCGTAAATTGAGCGCACGGTTCTTGCCCATGTGAGATGCTCAGGGATCGAGGAGAGCATTCGGGGTCAAATCCAAACGTATGGAGCAGCATCGAAATCGTTTTGGCTGTGAGCGAGAGAGACACGCCTACCTTCTTCTCTCAAAACCAAGCTCTACTAAGAATGAAACGTACGTAGCAAGGATGTGCGCCAGGGGGAGTCGGTCCACCTGTTCAGGAGCGTGCGTGGAGTGGAGCGCACTTCGAAGTTACAACGACTAGCCTCCCCCACCGTCTGCTTCTCCGTCTGTTTGTTTGTTCGCCTGTCTTTCTCTCTCTCCCGTGTCCCTCTGTCTCTCTGTCTGCGGTCTCTGTCTGTCTGTCTATCTGTCTGTTTCCCTTTCTCCTACCCTCTCTCTCTCTCTCTCTCTCTCTTTCTCTTTATCTATCTGTCTGCCCCCCCCCCCCCCTTTCTCTCTCTCGTTCGCTCTCACCTCCCGAAGGGCCTTCGACACCGGACTGCTGTTGTCGCAGCCCACACCACCCACGTTACCACTACCACCCAGCGCCCGTTGTCTGTTGCTGTCGCAAAAGCTGTCTTCGGCAAGACCGTCGCCGAGCGCGTTCCAGTCATGCAGGAGAACAAGCTTGCTTGTACGACCTGAAAAGATGCGCGTGCATAGAGAGTGCTTAGGGGACGCTAGGGTTTGTAGAATGGAGGGAAAACGGGTTTGTTGTCGTGGTTGTTTTCTGTCCGCGATGGTGGTGATATCATTGTGCTCGTGGACGATGTTGTTGTTGCTGTCGGTGTTTTGTTGATCACCATACCGTCGGTGTTGCTTGTTGATCACCATATCGTAGGTGTATGCTTGTTGATTACCATACCGTATCGTAGGTGTATAAGCCAAACGATACGTTTTCGGAGAGCTCTGGACGAGATGGACCCAACGCCGCCATGTTCGGCACCGCACTCTCCTCTACGGTGTAGAGCAATCGAGAGCTTTGAAAAACGGTCTAGGGGGTGTGATAGGTAGACATTCCTCCGCGGAAACCTTGCCCGGTCCTTTTTTTCCGCAATGCGAATCAACACGAGGGAAACGAGCCCCCAGTCACGGGCTGTTTGGGGGGGTGCTCGGCAGAGTAGTGATTTATGGGGCCTCCGGGGTGGGGGGGGGGGTTACCTGGAAGTTGAAACCTGTAAGTGGACCTTACACATTAAACAACGGGCCCCCCTTGCCTTTTTTCAACCCCAAAAAAAAAACAAAAAAAAGGGCCTGAAACCAAAATTATTGCTCCTTTGGTCCATGGCCAAACTACCGCTGAACCCCACCCCAGGTTAAACCACCCAACCCAAAAAACAAGAAACATGAAAAAAAACAAAACCCTCATTCTTCCCACCCCCGGGGGACTGTAAAGCCAACACCACAAAACGGAAACCTGCAAAAAGGGACACACAAAGAACCCACCCCCCCCCCCCAACCCGGAAATGGGGAAATTCTCAATGGTAACCCCGCAACCAAAGGTCCGGGCGGTTATCACGTTCTCTATTTATTAAAATTTCCTGTGTAAACCCCTATGGGACAAAGGAAAATTCCGGCCTTAAATCCGGCACCCCCAAAGCACAAATTAAAAAAACAAAAAACTCCCAAAATCCCCCCGTA